TACAGTTTTCTTATTTTCTCTCCCTACAGAAAGAGATATTTGGGAATTCCGCCAGTGTGTCAAGTTGAGCAGAGAGATCTTTGCTCAGAAAGCTTTTGAAAAATTTCGTGGGCCCGAAATTCTACCAGGAAACCATGTTCAGTCTGACAAAGAAATAGATGCTTTCATAAGACAGAAGGCTGATAGTGCTTATCATCCTTCCTGCACCTGTAAAATGGGTCAGCTTTCAGATAGCTCGGCTGTAGTTGATCCACAAACAAAAGTAATTGGTGTTGAAAACTTGAGAGTAGTAGATGCTTCAATAATGCCCAGTGTTGTCAGTGGAAATTTGAATGCCCCAACTGTTATGATAGCAGAGAAAGCTGCAGATATAATTAAGGGCCTCCCATCGCTTCAGGAGAAAAATGTTCCTGTATATAAGCCCAAGACCTTGGAAACACAGAGATAAACAAACTTTCTCACCCTTTCACCTTTTTTTATTTAGGCTTTCATCAGCATGTTGGTATCTCATACTGAACGTGCCAACTAAATAAATACCATGCAAAACAACATATCCTATTAAAGTAACTATTAATTCGAACCATTCTCTTATATTCCTTATATACCTATTCATTTTTTTTAATCAGTTGGCTTAAGCTGCTTATTTTAGTTAACATGACCTTTTGTGGTTCAAATTTTTTGTTGAAGAGAAGCTGTTTCTAAATGACAAGACAGTTGTGCACATAAGCCACAAATACTATGCAATTGCATGAGGTATGGAAGAGATTAATGTGTGCTATTTTAAAAATCATTATGGTATGCCTTGTTATTTAAAAAAAGGATTTTAACTGCTGGGAGAGCGTTACTCAGGATAACAGCTAGTCAGTAATCCCCACGTCCTGCAAAGAATGGTTAGGCAAATGTAAGCATTTATACGATTTCATATTCACAGGCCAAAGTAGTATGTATCAGAATTCATAGGAGAGAGAGGAACCTGCGCGCAGTCAGAATTTGTCAAATGTATTTTTTATGAGAGGAATGCAGAGTTTACAAATCCTCGCTTAAAGTTAGACTTCACCATACTTAGCAGTCTTAACTGTATAGTATTCAGACAGAAGAGCTCCATTGTATTTATCAGAAACTTATTTTTAAAAAAAAGGAGAACAGAACCTGATATTTATAAAAATATACTGGAAAACTGGAATTTCTTCTTGCCTTTTTCCCAAGGAGCTTAGTAGAATTCAGTTCACAACTTAAGCTGATTTAGTTGCACCACTTTATCATTTAGCACAGTAAGAGATCTGCACTTCCTATAACGTCCTTAAAGTTACTGGTCTTTGCTCAGAGTTTGCAAAAGATACTTCTCAGCAAATACTCTGAATGGTGCCTTACTATCACCTAAATTTTATTAAAAAAATTACAGTCAAGGTAGACCTAAAATGGGGGGTTACTCAAAATAACTGCATAAGGTCAGGTATTGATGATACAGGAAGAAATCTTTTTAAATTAGGAGAATAACTTACTTAGTGAACCAATGCTATATTTTAGTTAGGACTTATATCTTTGTTTTACTAAATTCAGATGTGCAAAGCGAGATATAGTATCTTTTATGACTGTTTTCTGTGTCAATCTAACTTTGAGGTACTGATTTTAAAAATACACCCAAACCTAAAGAAACTGAACTCATTGAATGAAATTGAATTGTTTGGATTTATTAAGTATTCCAAAATAACTTCTGACTAAGCAGCTGTGAAATTATAAAGTAAAAGCTGCTGTAGCCTAAGATTGCTTAGGACTTGTGGTAAACAGAATAAACTTCTTTTTTTTTTTTTCAGAAAAAAGGGAATTTTACACCATTTGAGCAGATTGTAAAAAAACCCCAAACTTGCTGACTCAGATGTTGGCTAGAGGGACAACTGCAGATGTTTAAGGCAGCTACTTCTACCTGGTGCTGCTTGCTGTAAGGCAGTGGTTGGAAGCCCTGCTGCTAACTGAGGGAAAGGACTTAATTCATTAGAGTATCTGCATAAAGACAAACAGAAATACTGAAGATGGAAGATGATAGCAGTGAACTCTGCTCCAAAAGATACAGGTAAACCCTCTCTCTGTGTGATGCATTCTTTTGGAATGAGGGGAAGAGCAAGAATATTTTAAGTCGTAGGTGATTGATTAGCTGTGTTAGTCAGACAGTTCATCCGATGCAACTCTGCATTTGGGGAAAGCATGAACTGTGTATGGTGTACCTTTGTATGGCAAATAGTTTTTATTCAGTACCTGTACTTTTGAGATTTTTGTTTAAAGGTATTCAGTAGGTATCTCAGCGTCATTTGGAATACAAAGTATTAGGATACTCAGAATAATATATACTGGTGAGACTTACCACAGTTCTGTGCAGTTGAGAGGGGAAGCAATTTGGAAAGATGTAATACTGAAGTTCCTGCATTTGCAGATTTACAGCGTGGGTTTCCACTCTAGGCATGCAAGATGGGAATTGTTATTATGCAACTGCAGAGGATTAGCTAGCCACACTCTGACATAACTTATTACTGAACACACACACAGAGCTATCCTCTGCCACTATGTCAAGCTCTAAAAGATGAGGAAACAGAAAGGTTAGATACGCGTGCCAAACTGTATGTGTCTTATGTTCAGGTACACATTGCTGCATTGTGCAATCAGATAATCGGGCATTTCTTCTAAAACAGCATCTTTTCTTGCAGTTCTAAACATACATAGGCACCTTGCAAATTCCTCCCCTTCTAAACTTTTAAACATTTTCATTGCTGTGAACTGCAGTTGGTTTATTAATTTAGGCCTCACTGCTATAGAATGTTGAGGCAGTTCATGACATTCCTTTGATGCAGTACTAAAGAAATAGCTCAGGTATCTGCAAGTTTTGTTGCCCTGAGGAAATCTCTAGGTAGTATCTAGCTACCCTGAGTTTCTCCTGCATTGTATCTGGTTGCTGATACTGAATTTCTGTTAAAGTTATTCTTACTTTTGGCAGAGTCAAGTCTGCTAAGGGATGCTTAGAACAGGTACAAGATATTCTAACGTGGTCTGTGGAGCACTGGCAGTCTGCTAGCTAAAATTAACCAGCTTTTACACCTTATTGGATTGCAGAGCATGGGCTAAAATTCAAGAGTTTTACATACAAAATAATACAGTGTATAAGTAAATATTATTCCCAGTTCTACCCAGGTATATTTTTTTTCTATAAATGTGCAGATGATACTACATTATGTTATTCAAAACCAGTAACTGTAAAAGCTGTTTGATGTAAGAATTTGGAAGGTACTAGACCTGCCAGCATGGCTTGAACCAGCAGTGGTACTGCGAGTGAGAACACCAGCATTTCCATGGTAATAGCTTGCTGCAGATGCTGCTGACACAGTTGGAGGTCTCTGGTGGGGGACAACGAGATTAAGACAGAAAAGTGACCAAAAAATGTTTCTTTTGTACACGTTTCAGTTCAAGTTGCTTTAGTATGAGAAGTGCTTTTAAAAGCAGCAGAAAATAGCAGTATTTATAAAACTGCATTATATTTAATTTATGTAAGGCCATTCAAGGTTTTGTACACCAGAACTTTTGATGTTTCTGCAGCTTAAAATCCTTTCCAAGTGTTTGATTTCAATTAGTCTGCAACCAAATGACGCAGCTATATAAACACTGCAAAACTGGAAAGTGGGCTTGGAACAGCATTTCCTATAAAATAAACATATAAACATATTTTGAGAAATAATAAAAGCATTTATGCATTTTTTTAAAATTATAGTTAAAATGAAGAGTTACTGTAGAGAGAACACAAGCATATCTTATTACAGTATTATAATTTTTGGTCTCTATTCTTCTGTCATCAAAGCTCCAAGAAAAGACACTGTTCAAATATGAATGTATTTTATATATTCACTTTTTCAGTGAGTTTACTTCACTGTAAAAGACTTAGCTATGTTTAATTCTTTACTAATGTTTTCTGTCATTATATACATATATAAACAAATCTGGAAATTCATGAAATATGCTTTCATTGATGAGATAACTTCTAGTTTTTCTGTATTGAGTAATTATTATGATTGGTAGTATTCTAAGGGTGCCAATTACCATGTAGTTGTGCATATATTGATTATTTTTTTTCCATATACTTCTGTAATAAAACTGAACAGGTATTCTATGTATCCATATATGTTTTCCCTTAAACCATTAACTATATAGAACATGGTCTGTAACTAAATTTCCTTCATTATTTGTTTTTGTAAGGACTGTTTTCTCATAAAATAGCATATGCGCTCTAAAGAGTCTCTCAGACTACTGAAAGCTAAGGACTAACCACACAAACAAGAAAATACAGTGAAGTCAGCTTATTGTTTTGTCTTCTTGCATAAATGATTAATTAAAAAAAATCATCAGTCAGATCAATCTGCCAAATTTCATGTGCTATCAAAAGTCCACACAGTTAAATAACCTGGTCTGGGACTGCTGCTTCCCCCCTCCCCCCCTTTTTTTTTTTTGAAATGTTTACCTCCAGTTGCCTTTAAGGCGGTTTTCAGAAGTGGATATACCACAGTAAGTGGAACTTTGAAAACTACTCATTCTTAGTTTACAGTGATATCAGATCCGGAAAACTCCATTTTGGTCTCCTAAAGTTTCTGTAAGCTGGGAAAGTGTAACAGAGTGACTACTGCTGGGTGACCTACCCAAGTGTTTCCTGGCAGACAAGCATGAAAGATTTGACACTTCAGGGCATTTTAGTCACATTTTCCTAATTTTTTCCTTAGATCTGTATCTAGGAAGTAGTAATTCCCTAGATAGCAGGGGACTAATAGTACCCTTTTTCATACGGATATCCCAATCACTTAATTTCTTTCTGGTTAACAGCAATCGTTCATAAAAGACTTGCACACTACAATAGAGTAGACTGATGACTATATTCCACGCGTTCCCTCCCATTCTTCAAACAGTGCAAACAGAATTTAACTTTTGGAGCTTCTTGGTGAAAAACTATTAGTAAAAGGAGTCCCAAGTATAATAAAATTATTACACAGTTTTATTTTGAAGAACATTTTGCATTTGTTTTAATACAAAATGATGTAGGTCAAGAAATAATTTACAAACCTTTAAGTTCTTATCCTGGCATTTGAAATAAGAATGATTTCAGAGGAGGTCTGTAAGCTATTCATAGGAAACTGTCATTATGTACAAAATGTTTATTGACATGTTTTAAACATCACATTTGTAAAAATGTGAACTGGATTGCTATCTAGCATATGAACAGGTTAAACCTGATAAGGTAACTTGTTAGAACAAGTCATTGTTATCCAGTGCTAACAAAATAGACAGTAGCTTTCATTATTTTTTGATTTTCCTCCAAGGTTGTATTAGCCTCAAAGTCGTTTCAGGGTTTACTGCATTGTGAACAATATCTAAGCCCTCTCTTGATTGCATAAAAATAAATCTTTGAAATAGTACAACAGAAAGGTAGAGGCAATAAAATAGTATACTTCTTATATAGTCAAAGTTTTTGGTTCTGTGAAGAATCATTTTATCATATTTCATTTCTTTCCAAGCAAAGTAAGTAGTACTGAAGTAAAACATTTTTGTTTACCTGTGAAATATTTTCTGTCCAAGATGATTCCTATCAAAGTAGGGTATGTAAGTAATATAATTTGTCAAAACTAATTGTCTTATGACCGGTAATATTCTGGCATGAACTTGCCAATTTTTTAATGCTTTAAATATTAATTTTTAACATGGGATTAATACAAAAATAAAATTACAGCTTATTTTTCCATCAAAAAAGTTAAAATAACTTTTTTTTTACCTTTCTGAGTATAAGACTGTAAATAGTCAACTGTGCATCCCTTATGCAGAGAGATTCATTTGACTCAATTATCAAAAAAAAAAAAAATCTGTCTGTTGCCAAGTTCCAACTTGACACTTTATCCCAAAAAGAGATTTACACTGAGAGGTGGCTCTATTTAAATATTTATGCTATAGATCTATATATTCCAAGTAAAAATACTTATATCTAGAATTCTGTGGAGAGTTACAATAATTAGGGTCCATAAATATTGCTGCAGTTCAATTACGGTACAATAATTACAAAATATAGAACATCTCTTTACAAATACAAATCATTGTATATTACAATTCATTTACAATAATTTCTACTATATAATTTTTAGCAAACTATCTTATCTAATTCTACTATAACCTGGTTGCAAGTGCATTAGTAAGAATGCAATTATTCCAGTATATTTTGCCCTTAACGTGATAGTCATAAAACAGACTATCTGAATGATATTTTCCTATGTAAACTGGTGTTACATATGACAGATTATTCTTTATATAACTTCTTTTTCCAACGATCTCTAACAGCATGACAAACTGTGTTTTAGAAGAGCATTAAGAAAAGAAATCAGGAGGCAAGTTTGAAAACAACGTTAGAATGGATATGCAACGGGTAGCTGATATGCTATCGAGTACTGAGGTAATGACATTATTGGTTGTCATCACTCGTCTCATGTTGCTATTTCCCACACAATTTTGTGCCAGACTTACACAGACATTTTCATTGACAAAATCCTGCTCCACTAGGAAGGACAGCAGCACAAGGCTGAAAGACAGGCAAGATATTACAGCTCAGAATCCCGCTCTAGCCCTCAAAAAACTGATTGTCACAATCTGCTTGGTTTCAAAATAACCTTATTCCTACAGAGGAACTAAAGATTCTGTGGGAGGAGACTTGACGTACTGCAGCTCTGATCACATTTCGGCAACCTGGAGATAACAAATTTTATAGTTATGGCTTCCTTGAGGTGTGACATCACTTGTACAAAACTTGATTGGTTATTTACTCCAGCTAGTGCCTAGCATCTTTAAACTATGAGGCACTTTTTCTGTTATTAAAATAATTTTCCTTGTTAAATACTATAAGCTCGTAATGCATATCATTTCATCAGCTAAATCTTCTTCATATCGTCCCGTTTCTGGTTCTTCATCACTGTAGCCAGGACCAAAATCTTGAAGTTCATAATCTTGTCTGCTTAAAATGGGAAACATATCCCCATTGGTCCCATTGCTAATATTTCCATTGAGAAGATTACTTGCTGCACTTTCCATCTCATCAATAGTCATGTCACATGCATCGGCAATCTCATGTTTTGTAGCCGAAACAAATTTAGGGTCCTTTGCATACCTTCCTAGGCCTTCAGATATAAGTACCTGGCAGATGGAGGGGAGAGAATGAGATACACAGTGGAATTAGAAAAGAACAGACAGGTCATAGCAATGTTTCTCATTTGTGGAAGATACTAAAAATCCCATGCTGAATCACTACTGCAACCCACAGCAAAACTGCCTGTGTAAAGAACACTCAAATGGCTCCAAAACCCACTGTATCAGTTATGTGACAATGCAACTGATAATGCAGTACATCTGACTGTTCTCTTTAGAAATTTTGGAGTAGTCTGTGATAAACATCAATCATCAGACTGATACACTAAAGACAACTGTTAATGTATCGTAGATGGTGCAGTTAGAACAATTGCCTGAAACACAGAATTATAGATATGTTCTTGGTACTTTAGTGTACATGGAAGAAAGATGAAGTCCCATCTGCAAATAACATTTAACAAAGTATATTGTTTAGCTCATAGCAATGGAAAAGAAGTGATAGATGGAAGCAAGAACAGTAACTATGATTCAGAAATGTTATATACTCTTTATCTTCAATTTTTTTAATATAAAAGGGAATTCTTAACATTCTTTAGTACACCTACAAATCAATCCTCTGCATTTAGTGCACTGATTCATAGAGCTCTTGTTCTTTTATTCAGGTTACTGCAAAAATGGTGATGTATTTCTATAGAAACAACAGAGAGAACAGGCATATGCATAAGCTCTTCCCTATCAGCCATTGTGGAAGGACACTTCGTAACTGATCCTTATCTAGAAAACTTAAATTGAATTTCAGATCTCTTTGAAATCCCTCCATTTCTCTGACACACTAATGTTAAGATTTGGATTCAGCAGAAATCCTTTACTCCATTACAACTACCAGTAAGTTCCCCTGTTTTTACCTAAAAACAGTTTTGGGCTTTGAAACTGAAAATACTACATTTTCAGAGAGATAATGTAGACTGAATTATATGTTTTTTGCAGTTAACACAAAAACTGAACAGACACACACTCTTGGCTACTGTAATACTTACCGCTTCTACCAAACTGTCTGCACTCCTCTGTTTGTCACTATGTTTATGCCTAAAGTCATTAGGTACAGTTAAATTGGCTGGTGTAAATGTTCGGTAGGAGATATCGGGGTCATCTGTGTACCAAGAGCTCCTGTGCAAGGAAGGCAGGCTGCCATTCATATGCTCTGTAGATTCAGCCCTGTCGACCTGGATGAGAGGCGTGTAATATGGAGTGCGGTCCCTGTTGGGAGGGGTGGCGGGTGGGGTGGCCCAGGAACGCGTTGAACGACTTGGTGAATGTTTATGAGCTTTGCTGGAATCCAGACCTGCAACAGCCATGACCTGGTAAGGGGACGAATTTTAGAAGTGAGTGGTTTCAAATGATCAGTCATACTCATTTCTTATTTCAGCAGTTAGCTCAAACCAATTGTTCAGGCAGCAGTTATGCAAAGTTAATGTTTTCTGATGTTTAATGGTCGTGTAAAGGAGGAACAGGATTGAAATTGGTAAACTGACAGGATAAAATGGTATTTTTTCTATTATTACTTGGAGCACAAAAACTTGGTATTAATATTAATAAAGAAAAATAATTGCTCATACAATATATTAAAGAAAGAAAGCAAAGTGTAGATACATTCCTTCTGTCCTGTAGGGACAGGATAGGAAGCTGTCAGCATTTTCCACGCGTTCTGGGTGGTGTCTCTGGGCAATGGAAATTGCCATCTTCTCAGGGCCATGTCAGAGCTGGGTAGTGAGCCTCAGAAGATGTTGTACTCACAAATTCTCACAAATGGAGCTGAATAACTGCATAGGTCAGGGTTAAGAGACAGTTGCCGTGTTATGCAGTCTTGGTCAAAATTCCTTAGGGCATCCTGACTCTTTGCGGACACTTAAAGAGTCATAGGGGAAAACTACTCATTTGCAGTGTTTTGTAGAAAGCTGATGGTTGAGAAGCCTCGTGTCTAGCAACTACAAGCCTACTCTTGGCCTAGAAGTCAGGCACAGGCAAACTACATAATACAGTGGTACTGTTTCAAACAACAATGGAAGTCAGAACTACAATATCGAAACTGGAAAGATGTAAATCATTATTGGTTAAATAAGATTCTGTGTTTACCTGCTGTTGCATTAAGTGAAGCGGTAAAGCGGTGCGATGGTGGAAATTAGGAGAGAGTGGTATGTCATCTTGACTACTTTGTCGGCGGAGGCATTCGAAGTTAAAGGAAGATCGTCTATTTGCTACAGGGAAACCATAATTCATTAGGAAAACAAAATACTTTTCTTCAAAGTCTATTATTTCCAGAATTCCAGTGTGAGTCAACTATCACAACTAAAAACATATCCCCCAGTAAGAAATAAGTTGTGCTAACAGAAGCAAGCAGCTGGTTATAACATAGACTACTCAGATGAGCAAACGCAGTCCTAGGTAGAAACCATACGAGCAGCCTAACATGACAGAATTTGAAGCAGTCGTTTCACAAAGCAAGCTTGTATGATGCAGCAGACACTTAACTTCAGAGTCTTGCTGTAAACTGCTGTGAAGTTACAAAGATGAGTTTCTTTTTTCTTCCCTGGGGTTTTAAACTCTTCATTCTAATGAACCAGACTTCTCAAAGGAAATACCAAATCCCCAGTTCCCTGTAAGCAGTGTGCAACATGAAAAACCATATCCAAGTCAAACTTGACTCACGCTGTCAATTCCTGACATTTATTCTCTTACTTTTGACAATGATAAGCCGTGGTCTCTGCTGTTACATGTGCTGTTATTATTCATGTCTAGTGGAAGGCATCCCTGGCCAGGGCATGGGGGCTGGAACTAGATGATCTTTAAAGTCCCTTCCAACTCTAACTGTTCTATGATTCTATGACTCATGTAAATGCTAGAAAGGAAAAAGTAGAAATCTAAACTGGATCAAGATGTTTGGCTCATATGGAAATGTTTCAGCTGGTCTTGGTGAAAGCCTGCAGAATGATTGGAAACAGTGCATGGATATCATTCCTCTGTGTTAGTGTCAGTGTGAAGAAAGCCTGGATGCTGAACAGCAGCTGGAATCCAGATATGTCCTCACAGCTGCGAGCACCATCGTGGAAAACTGGAAAGAGGCTGACAGTACAGAGCAACGATACAAAATTGTGCTGTCTTCAAAATTATTGAAACTATTCTTGGTACCTTTTTTTCCAACACCAAGAATTTTGTGAACAGAATTGAAGAGTTAAGTCCCATGGACTTAGGATTCCTCATAGTTATCACCAGACACTGAATGCTGGATATTAACAAATTTCCTTAGAGAGCTAGTGGACTAAATTCAGCACCTCCAGGAGGGGATTCAGTTCATTTAATGCAAACTTTTTGTTTCCATTGTCTCTGTGGTAAATCCAAATACAGGAATGTAAGCCTTAGCTCCTGTTCCCAACAAATGCTAAATGTCCCAATACCAAAATAAATAAAAAGCAAACCAAAAGGTCTCCATATCCAAACCAAGACGCTTCTCCCCAGGAAAGAATCTGAAAGAACATCTTAATCATTTCTCAGTATACTTCTGGAGGTTGTTCAAATACTGTGGTGATGAGCTTGGTATAAAATCCTCTAGAAGGCCTGACACAGAGCTCAGTTTACTAACTACAATACTCAGCCACGGCACTGCATGTCACGTTAACTCGGACTGAATCCAGATGCTAGCAGAACTATTCAGTGCAATGTTGCAGGTTTTTTTGTTGGTTTTTTTTTTTCTTTTTGTCTTTCTTTATGCGAGAACATCGAGGCTTCCTCCCCAGGCCAAACAGCCTATATGCTAGTTACAAATAATGGGTTTGAGCTTCTTTTAAAATCTGCTGAGATTCCAAGTCTCTAAAATTTCTCAGCTGTGATCCTGAACATTAAATAAATGGTTATGACAGGAGGCCCAACTGCGCTCTTGTGATGTGATACTGGTGTAAGTCAAAGGACTTTACTTCCTACAGTACCCTTATGCAACTTAGATCAGAACTCGGTCCTCTTATCCTAGGACATCAAATACCCTCTTCTAGTACATTTATCTAGTCCCTCATAGGTAAGATAAAAAGGCCAAGCTTCCTCTAAAGAAATATCTGCTTAATGCTGTCATCAAAACTTTATCAGACAAGTTAAATGAATCCCAAAGGCTGCAGCCACAGGAAGCCTTCAACCCTCCCCTCCCAACACTTCCATGGGAAGACCCCTGAGAATTTTTAATCCTCTTTTATCCTTTTCTGCTGCAATGTACGGAATGGATATACAAAGCATTTGTCTATTTCTTTGGCTTAAAATTCCTCTGCTATCAGAAAAGCTTGTAGAAAGATGTACAGGAGTTGCCTTTTAGAGCCCTTTGTCTGCTCTCTTTTCCTTCTGCTACTGGACGAGAGCTAGCAGCTTTCTGTACGTTTCACTAGCATTCATCTGAGTTGAGTCATTTACTCTCTGTAGTGCAAGACTCATTCTTTCTGCTTTTTTCATCAGTGCCCCTTAAGGTCAGAAAGCCAAATAGCAGAAAGCATTACTAGTCGTAAGAGCTGAGAGCCAAAAAGTGAGGATCCAGCACTGACAGCATTGCTGAAGAACGTATCCTTTATTATATAATAATGTATTTTGCTGCTGCCCTTTACTACAGCTTTCTGTAACTTTAAACAGTCCGACTGTATCTCAGATGTTGTATAAAAATCCCACTGCACTTTTCTCTGAAACATTTTTATTTTTTAAATCTAAAATCTAAATCTATACCTGCATTTTCTTTAGGGTGTCTGAGACAGGAAAGGACTGAAACCCATTTTCCTACCCATGGAAATACAGTCATACTTCTACAGATACACGGACCATGACGCTGGCTGATAGCTCCATCAGAATGAAAGACAACTCTGTTTTTGCTAGAAAGCCAATCCACCTGATGGCAGACAAAACGTGGAGACTCTTCTAGAAATGATCCTATATTGCCTTGTCTGGATGGCACTGGCTAGATGGCATCATCCAAAGACACACATACAGACGTGGCTGCACTGGCCAGACTACGCGTCCCAGTACTGTTAGGGACCCTGTGGAGTTGCACGGAGCTGAGGGTTATTTCTCGTGTATCAACAAGAAACAGCCTTAGAAAGAGGTTTATTTTGTGCTTCACAACCCCAAGTGCTTCCTCTCTGTGAAGTGTCTGAGGTCAAAGAGCAAAATCCAAGAGCTTTGAGTCTGTGCCTAGTTTCACCAGAGGATTAGCACCGCTAATCTCTGCAGTATGGCCTGGAACATACAAAAACAAAATCACAAGATAAGAAGCATGAGAGCTTTTAGAAATGCAGATAAAGCAATACTGTGCTTGAGATAAGGAGAAGCCCAGGGAAAGATCTGAGGAGGAGAGTAAATGAAAATTAAAGAAACAGGAAAAAAAAATATCAGTTGACAACACAAATTCAATCTATAAATTGAAACATTTTCTCCTTCAGAAGAAACACAGAATATTAAGCATTGTTCCTGAAATGGCAGAATAAAGTACCAATGTGAATCTGAAATATGATGCTCAGCTCAGGATAACACTTATTTTTCACAGGGACTCGAGAAACGTTAAAAAGCTAAAGACGCTTCAAAAGCAAGGGAAAAAAAATAATCAAAGCACCATTAAGCTCACTTTTGGTTCTCTTTTCCCTGAAAATTGCCCGACTTCAGTCTCTAGTGTTTACTAAAACAGCACGAGGTAAAGATGTAAATGGCAGTGATTACAGTGTCGTTAAGCAGCACGACTGTTAAGAGACGGAAGCACCAGCAGGTGAGTCACTGCAGGGACAACAGCCCTGACAAAGGCAACATTGCACATCTGTAGGTGAGAATAAAGGGCGCAGGGATTGAAACCCTCTGATCAAAGTTTCAAAGCAAACTACTGCTGCATGCTACCTTGCTCGTTCTTCATTTAGCAAACCAAGTTAAAACTGGCAATTAAATTGTTGGGTTTTTTATATTATTGGATGAGTGAGGCAAGAGATATTAGGAAGATTGACTTGTAAGCTCGGATCCATAGATCCTTTCAGCAGTCTCTTGGGATGGATAGGTATTCTGTGTATCATACACTATAATCCACTGGCAACAGTAATCAAGAAAAGTCACGTTGGAAATCCAAGTTTAAAAGAAGCCTTTTTAAACTGGAACATGTCTGAATGCATTTAAATAATTCTAGCTTTGCAAATAAATTGTTCTTGATGTACTTACGTGTTGGTGTTGGAGGTAGCAGCCGTCTCCTAGGAGATCTTTTTGTATCATAACACATCTGTGAATCATCTTCCTCAAAAAACCCATGTGGGTGATGGTAACCTTTTGGTCTCTCAAAATCTGCGTCATGGCAGTGATATCTACAGTGGTAATCATATATATGCCTGAGTTTAAAAGACAATAAAGAAAATGTTATTTCAGTGAGTTTCTGTAAATTGATCTATTAGATTTCTTCTAGAAGATTTTAAAATCTATTCTTTCTCCAGCAAAATAATCAAACATTACATTATATAATTACAGGATTCAATTTTAAAATCCAGTTTCTGTATGCAAACTGATTTTGAGATAGCAAGCATACACTTATGTACTAGTATATATTTTCAATGAAGTTATTCTTACCAGTACAGGCTAAAGTGTAGGATCTCCGTTGGACATTGCTTAAAAAAAACCCAAATCTGTTCTACTCGTGCCACGCTGTCTTGTGAACCCTGGGCAACATGTGCAGCGCAGAAACTCAGAGACCAGATTTAAGCCTTTTATATTCTGGATACTTCTCTTGTTGAAAATCAAATCTCGGAAGGGTGTTATTTGAATGTAATTATTATGTAAAAAAATTACTGGTCTGACAATTCTGTAAAATTTAGCTTTTATGCAAATCTTAGCTTTTATGCAAATCAATAAGATGCAGATAGGGTGCCAATCTTGCCAGAATTCAGGTGGCAAAGAAAGACAGTAGAGGAGGAGGAAGAGGAGAATTAAGCATGTGTGGCACTTGTGCATATGCACTTAGGGATCTAAGATAAAATGGCAATAAATCCCTCTACTTCTGGGTTGGACTTCCAAATAAAAATTATTGACAGAAGTGGAGGATATTTTTGAGAACTTACTGAATTTATTCAGCAGAAAGGAAACACAGCTATTATAAGGAAGATGAACACAATCTACTCAACGTCTTGTAAATGTATATGTCTTTATAAATCATGATTAGAAGATTAATATTATGGAATTAAAAAAAAATCACGAGATGTTTAGGTAAAAGGTGCATTTAATTTTATTTTTTTTTAAATAGGAAGCCTTTCAGTACTACCAAATACAGGTTCTGTTCCATGACAAGTTGATAGTCAGAAAACACTGGAACGATCTCACATTTTAAAGACTAAATCAGAAATATCAGGACTTCCTCACAAAATAGCACCAAACATTGCCTGAACAACTGGAAACCCATTCTTTATGTACAGGAGTAGTCCCAGCATGAAATTAGGACCTGCCCTGCTGCTGAAGCCATCACTGCCTAAATCCAGCAGCACAGTGCTTAAATCAAACTAATCTGGTACTGCTCAAAGCTGAACTAATTTGGGAGCCACTCTTCTAAAGTTAGGAAAATCCACACCAGTCCATTTCTGAAGAAACTGCATGAAAAAATTGCAGAGAAAATCTTAAATTTACCAATATTAAATCACAGCCTTTTTTCATCTTAAATCTGAAGTTAAGATACTGAATGCAAAGATCACAGGAGTTAAATACACAGGAACAGGAAAGAGTTGTTAAAAAACACTAGTGGGCCTTGGAAAAAGCCCACTGGACAGAAATACTATAATTAACCAGGACACTATGCCAAGTTTTGGCCAGAGAAAAGAGAAATGAGTTAGAAAACTGAGAAGAACCAGGTTACTAAACTAGAACACTGCAAGCACAGCAAGGAGCCTCAGATCAATACAAATTTGGACATCATGCAGTAATACAAATTTGTAAGAAATGCTAGTTGTTGACTAAAATTCAATTGATGGCATTTCCATTATGAATAAAAAATTTCCATTGTGAATAAAACTTTAAAAACATCAATTTCAAACACATAAAGGCCAGGACAACTATGACACGGTTAAGTGTTTGTACTAAGGAGACAAAAAATGGTGCCAAGAGGAGGATTGTTAATAAAGAGGTATAATGAGAATTTTCAAAAGGAAGTTGTCCAATTCTTTATTGGCCCAGCTAGTGCTACCTTATGATCTCAGTCCATACCAGTTTCACCTTTCTAAGTTAAATTAAAAGAAGATAACCATTTCTAAAAGTTCCCCTACCTGAGCTTGATCCGTCTTCCACTGTATGTGAAATTTTATATATAAATGAAATGTTTCTTTGTTTATGCACTGTCTAGTTTATACTCAGTTCAAAGGAACTTTGTGCTTTCCCTTGAATTTGGTACGGAACTTTTGCTGGAGTCAGCACATGATGCCGAATACAAAAGATCTTTGGTAGACACACTCTTCTATTCACCATTTCACTTGCCAGCAGTTGTGGAGTATTAACTTCACAGAGAATTTTCAGTATAAGCGTGCATAGTGAAGCCTTTACAGAGATATACCTAGTTTATTGAAATATTTTCCCAGCTAAAAAAATATCCTTACCTGTTTCCTGACAACATACTGTCTTCCTCATAATATTCTTCTCCACTAAAATATTCCTGCTCTCCTAAATAATGATCATCATTGCAATAGTCTTGAACTTCACGTTCTTCGCGGCAAATAGTAGGTCGACGCCCATCACCAGAGTCAGATCTGCAAGTAGCAAACAAATACTTATTTTTTATTTATATAAATTATATAGTGTATATTTTATACACAGTTCTTTTAATGGGCTTCCAAGGTTAAAAAACAAAAACAAACAAACAAAAAAGACAAGCATTAGCAACTCTCTTGTTGTCAGAATGTGGTGTTATAGTAAATTGTGTAGAACTGCAGTTCAGAACATGACTATTTTACCTGTTTCTTAAAGATGACCTCCCTTTATTTCCTTATGGTACAAACAGGAAAATAATTAATATGGGGATGCTCAGTGAAGTCGAATACATTTAAGACATTTTTTACAAAATATGAATTCAGAGTACTTTGAAGAAACACAGCCTCTCTCAAATGTCTGAAGTTTGCCAAATGGCTAAAATATTAAGGAGCGCTCACCAAGTTTTTTCCAAGAAAAATCTGAAGTGGATGTGCAAATCTAGACATTACAAACTAGCACTGAAGGTACATTTAGCAATGCACTTCAAATAACATAATATATCCTCTTTATAAAAGCTGTCTAAGAAAATATTCAGACATAAGACCAGGAAAGATTTTAAGTCCCCTATAAATGGAACTGTACACATTTTATTTAACAAAGCTAAACCCAGTGTTTCTTCCAGTCTTTACAAGTAAATTTTAAACAACGGCTGTGATCAGGTGTGATGTTTTGTCTGTTCAAAACTGCACAAACCTGCCTGGACTTTTAAAATGGCTTGAATCATTTTGAACTTTACCAGAAATTTATCCTTTTAGAACAGGCAGTGGAAAATTTGACTTAGAAATTGTCACTTAAGTTATTCAGCATATGCATTGTCATATAGTTAATTCTGAAAATCGTACTGTAAAAGGAAAAAAAAAAAGGAAAAAAGGAAAAAAAGGAAAAAAGGAACAAAAATAGAAAAAAACCCACCAAAACTATTTTGTTCTCTTCAATTATATCAGAACAATATCAACTCACCTAATATATGTTTCATAGTAGCGCGTTCTATCCAGGTAAGCCAAGAAAATAACAAGAAAAATATTTTAAAATCAGGTAGTTTAGAGAAATTCATTGGTGATTATGTCTGTACTGTAACTAATAATTTCACTTTAAAGAAAACTACTACTTTCAAACCTTATTAAAGTTATTTACATTTCTCATACATCAGAGCTATATTTTAAATAGGTTTCATACATCAGTAAGCAATAGAAATGAAGCTAAATATACAAATTAGTTTCATGTAGCATAAGTTTTCTTATAGTATATTTATAATATAGAAATATATTTAAAAGCAAATATATATTTAAGTTTACCTCCTACTGCTTGGCCTTCTACGCTTCTCATGATCAGTTCTGGAGTAAGAATGGTAACCGTTTTCAGATCTATGCTCATGATTTCCAAAATTTGTGTGTTTTCCATGAACAACTTTGGACACGTTGGCATTATTGAGATTGGCATTTGTTGAGTTTGGAACTTGCTTTCCTACTGAGTTGTGATGGTGATGATTGTGGTACACAGAATTTCCTGCCTGAGGATATATATTTTTCTCAGTATCGCTTGCAGATGGAATGGAAGGCCGCTGAACATGTAAGGGACGGTGTGTGGTGTTGATCTGTTGAAATGAATCTCGTCTGTCACTGCTAATATGGTTTATGTGGTTGCCAAAGAGGGCACCATTCCTCTGTTTTAGGGGAAGAGAAAGAAAAAGTTACATCAGACACCTTAACAGAACATATTTTTGAGAGTGATAACTTACTTTTCTCCCCTACATGCATTCAAAAGTAGCAATTCAAATAATCTGTGGTTTTCTTTCTAATTTTACGATGCTTCAGATGGGATCTCCTGAAGTGATAGAGATGTGACTGTGATAATGACAATATTTGTATTTCAGAGTCAAATCAACATTATGCTGTGATCGTTATTCTTTTTCCATACAACTAAACGTGACATCCAGCTTTCTCCACGTTTTATTATGCAGGAGAAACCCAGATTCCCGTACATGAACATGCACCAACTTCCTCAGAAAGGGACGTGTCTGCTTAATTTTTGAGAGCACTTTGGTGGAATTCTCTCCTATTCTCCCAGAGCATCGGTTTGCAACAGGCGTCACTCAGACAGGATGGAGTGCCATGCAACAGCTTGCAAGCATATCTCAGGTAGGTAACATTAAGCTTCAGTGCTTCCATTCTTTCTTCTTGCAGAGGTACGAGAAAGAGTAGTAACTCTTTATCAGCCCTGAAGGGTGTAATGGATGGTGAAAGAGAGAATGAAGTGCTAAGTTATGACTATGACATGCAGCTCGCTTTTACATCTGACCCAGATTATGTAGCCTCCCTGTCTAGCCAGGTGTGGGTCTTGGATGACAGCAGTCTGTCTTGAAGCTCAATCTAGGGAAGACAGGAGGGTAATGATGGTTGGCAGAGAAATGCATCTACTGATGGTAGCTGCAGCACTGTCTCCAGTGCCACATCCTCCTTTTTTGCAGAGGACACAACTACTGCAGAAGCATGCTTTTACATCTGCTTCTTCTGAAATGCTTGTGAAAAATTAAGCTTTCTTGCTGGCTGACAAATGGTTTGCACATTGCTCCTGATTATAATACCAACTTTACAGTGTTCACCATTTGAATGAATATCTATAGCATAAAAGAGGAAAACTAGTCCTTTTTCTGATTGGTTCTTATTGCTATCTCTCACAGGAAACTGGAAATGGCATTTATATTTAGTTGACTTCTGTGTAATTCCAGGCACTCATTTTAAAATATGCAGCTCTGTGTCTGTTGTGGTTTGGCTGCACAGAATTTCATTCTCTTCCTCCTATCTCCCACTGCAGCAGTTAACACGCTTCCAGTTTAACCTTGCCACTATCAAAATTTGAGATGGCACGGTTCATACCTTGTCTTAGGATTTGCTTAAGAAAAAAATAAGAATTAATGAGAAAGAATTAGGGGCAGGAGAATCACCCTGCAGGAACTGCTTCCTAAATTTATGATGAGATGGAAAGTGTCCTTTTATATATAAAATATGCTTATTTATAAAGTATTTATATTCTTCTGGTTTGAGGGAGTGGAGTTTTTATTATTATTATTATTACTCCATATTCAGGGATAAGATCATTCTTTAATCTCATATTATATGATAAAACAATTCACATAGCTGTGTTCTGACATTACTTTATAAACATCTTCCTCCTCCTCTGGATTGTTTTCGTCTGGTTCATCATCTTGCAAGTCACAGGATATAGCTCGGCGTATTTCAGGGCCAATATCATGAAGTGTCCTTAGTCCTGCCTAAATCAATGACAATATCATAATACATTAGGAATGCAAATTCTTTTTCGTTCTTTAATTACAGGCGTGTAAATTTATTTTAAAGGACAGTAAACAAGTTTTTGTATCCTGACATCCAGAGAAGGTGCATCCTATTATATGTCCCTTTGCTGTTATTAATAAAAGGCTTACATTCCAGTACAGCCCTGCTGAGGTGATCATGTCTTTATTATTACAGCGCAGATCCTGACTAAAAGAACACTGATGTTTATGGAACCCTAAGGAAATAAAATTCATCTTATAATAAAGTATCAGCAAGTAATCAGCAAGAACGATAATAAAATGCATTTCAATGAGATGTATATTTAATGTTAAAAACATGTTTGCAGCCTGTGTCCACCAAGGAAACACAAGGAGATCTTTGCTATAGCAACAGCAGTTTTAGCAGAGCTCAGATGGAAAAGAAAGCAGTGAAATAATTCCAGCTCATCTGCACTGCACTGGCATATACAGATATTTCACTGAAAGCTTTGACTTAGGACAGAAAACCATCTAGCTACAGTAGCATGGACCTCAGCACATATCGGTTCACATTCCTCTCAAGCCTGCTTCCACAAGCAACCTGTAGGAAAAAAGGAGAAGGCTGAAATGGCCAAGGACAGCCCTGCACATTAGAGAGGAAACAGCCTTCACGCTCAGGGCAAGAATTCAGTGCTTTGTATGGGCCAGCCTTACTTCAAAACGGAGGTATTTTTCCTCTTTTAACTCTGGCTGTCATAGTATGAAGCAAAAAATGCAATCTTGTTCTTCCTAACTCTTCTTTTAATCTCCTCAGGTTCAGAAGAAATCAAAGACTTGTTTGTTTAGCCCGTTACTAACACTACACTTACAACACTAATAATCACACACAGCAATTTGCTCAATTCTTGATTACGATATAAAAGCCTGATTTATTATTTTTCTGCATTTTTTTGATGCAGATGAGCGCTGTCCCAGCCCATCAGAGCTGTCCTTCTGTGGCATGACATTGCACGTTACTCACCCTGGGGTGGCACGCAGATGCGTAGAGAATTTTGTGTGTTTCAGAGCTCCAGAAGGAGCTGAAGGACCTTGGAGGACACCAAACGTGGCTTGGTCCCATTCACGCTGCCTATCACACACACTCCCTGGAGTACACCACAGCATTGCGGTCAAGTTTCAGCTCAAATCAAAAACAGTTGGTTTGCTGGGGAGCAAAATGGCATTTATACAGTGTGGGCAATCAGAACCCAGGAAGGGATGAACCAAAAAGCTTTGTATCTAATGGTGTAGATTTTCTACAAGCTTCTCTTCAGGATTCACTCATAGCAGTATCTGACTTCCTGAAAGTGGCGCTTGACTCATCATATTAGCTATATGTATTTGGTAATTATACCTTCTTCCTCAGGGATGAACTTTGAGAGTTATGCTATAATTGAACAAGGCTCTAAAAATCATTTACTAGTGAGTTAATAATATACAACATACGTTTCATGAATACACTGTGCTTTCTCCCACTTCTTATGCTAATTGCATAGTCAAGACCTTAGCTAGCAAGGCTGCTAATGTCATCATTTTGTAAGGTGCTAAAGGGAAGTAAAATTAACACTTTAAGGTACAGATTTCAAAGTAAAAGACCAAAGCCGCCTATTTATTTAGCAGAGGCAAAGGCAATATTTATTTAGCAGAGGATTACTATTATATTTTGGTTATTCAATCATCTGCAAGAATAGTTGCATTTCACGCTCACTACCTGCTTATTTTATAGCAAAGAAAAATAAAAGGAAGAAAATACCCCAAAGCTATGCTGACACTTATAAACTGACATTAGCACGAACAGAATACAATGCAAGAACTACTAGAATGAGAAAATAAGCATGCAGAAAAACAGCTGAATAGACCTACGCTATAGCAGTGAACGTAAGAGACATAGTAGTCAAGTCTCGATTCCCCAGTGGTGTGCACCTTCATGGAGCCCATCTCTGAAGGCTGGAGCTGCCTGCGCTGCTCCACAGCTACACACAGGCTCCGTGCTCTCAGTCAAGCCCAGGCTCCCTTCAAGCTAAGCCTTTCTGTGAGCACAACACGCTCAGACAGCTGTATTATAAATTTTAACTCCGGCAAAAACTACTAGCTTATATTCCTGTCTGCCAAATAGCGACAGAGTCCCACAAATACATGCCTAAAAGCTGAGAAAAGCCATGTGTTTGGCAGCAACACATTCCATAGTAATTTAATCTTGATTACATTTCCAACTGCTTTCTGATTTACTTCCTGGTGAATTACTCCTTCTTTACTGAAGAGAAAACAGGCAGCTTTTATCATCTCATCTCTTCAGTAATACTCATTTTCATGTAACAGACCTCTTGCAATGACACAGTTAACAGACTGAAACCTGGATCACCATAAGTAAAAGTATATGTTAGTTAAACTAAACCGATCGGCTTTATTCACTCACAGCCAGTACAGAAGCCACAGGTTCTACAAGCAACACCGGGCTGCAGAATTAAGATATTCCTCAAGAAGTACCTACAACAATTTTGTGAACTCTGTCGTTAAGATTACTACTCCCACATACTATCTCATTTTACCTGGTGTAATCTAAAAGTGCTGAAAGTATTCTAAGAACATTTTTAGTGACAGGAAAATGCCACATAGTGAGACAAATCCTCACACTGAGCTCCTACTGATAAACAGTCCTTCATTAGATCAGTCAGCTACCACTGAAGTGGGGCTGACGTAAAAATGCAGAAATTGGTATGTGTATGTCAGTAGGAAAATCCCTCATCTGAACCACATTTAATATCTTCTGTGAAGATTGTAGAGGTAGCATGGACTCATAAAATATTTGACTTTACCTTCAAGCACTTCAGAACCAAATCAAAGATCTCTCAAATAAAAGAACACACACAAATTTCAACCCAACCTTCCCCACACCTCTCCATTACTGTACAGGGAAGTAGGGTCCTTCTCATACACATTCCCCTATATAATGTTGCCTGATTTAGTCCACCCAGCAAGAACGTTAGAGGCACTATAACACACAAGAGGGCAATGGGAGTATATGTTTTTCTCCACTTGTGAAGTTCTAAAAACTGCTACATTTAAATTTGAGATAATTTCTTCTCTTAGGAAAAAAAAAAAAACAACAACAAACCGTGAGTAGATGGGACTTTTCAAAAAGACAGCCTGGATAACGATTTGTCTACATTTGCCAGAGACGTGCTTGTTTCTTTTTTACTATGACTGCTTAAGTTCTTAGGAGGCAATTATTTCCCTAAGTAGAACTTTATAAGACCTTTTGTTGTTGTTACATATTCAGGACTAGCCACATTCCTGAAGCATCATGATACAATGACTTTCAAAAATAAAAATCAAGTTTGAGTATTATACAGGAAGTACTTCCTCACAGTCTTTGAGCATGGCTTATGAGAGCTGCAGAGGAAAGGAAATCACAGCTAAATCCTCTTTACTTTCCCCAAACGGAACAACGAGTAGACACTAAAGACCGATATAAGAACTTTCGTAACATTTCCTTTGGTTAGTAAAGATTACTGAAAGGGTCACGCTCTCTCTAGTCTCCCTTATATCCTTATTCTTTATGGCAGGTTCTTAATTCCTAAAGATTTTCCAACGTCCGGAGCATTCTCGCCTTTCCTTAAAGGAACCTTCAAGATTATTTGATGCCATTTAAACAGTAAAAAACACCTTTAACATTTTTCCCTAAATCAGTATTTATTATTCACATTTCCACTTATTTATGCGCTGTTTATTGAGGACCAAAATACAATTCACATCATTTCAAGAAGCAAGGGGCCAGTTCTGCCATCGTATATACATCTAATATCTATCTCAGCTCACCAGACCGAAAACCTGCCTGGTTCACAAGGCTGTTAAAAATCAGTCAGGTGGATCACATTTCTAAGAAAATGTGTTTAATAATGCCACTAAATTGCAGAATACAAAATTGTTCAGTTCTGTTCGCCTCTAACTTTCCAACACAGAGTGTCATTATTTGCTATGCACAGATGTCTTTGCCTAACGTACCTGTAACTGCAAAAAAATACGTATATTCTCTCACATGGGTGTTAATATTTATGTGCATTTACCCTGTACCTTTTAGAAAATTTTGTTTTCATGAAAGACACTGGAAGATGACGGCGTCTAACAGAACAGATACAACATGCGAGAGATGTTTAGGCAGCAGTTCCATAGGAATAACATTGATCAAACCCGCATCATTGAATTATTCATGCTGTTCTGCAAGAGGACATCTGTTGTTTCTACTCAGGTTTTTCTATTTTGTTATGGTTTCTTTGAAGTAGGGGAAGAAAAGAGACTAATGCTACTGTGTTTGCCTCTAATTCTATTCTACAGATTACGCTAGAAGTTTGCAAAAGAAGTTGTTTCTTATTCAGATACTTTCTCTCCAAAATTTAATCTTTGATGCCCTCCTTGCTTAAATTTTATCTTGTAGGCTTGAGAAAGATGAGACATTATCAGTCCCATGGTTAGTTACCAAACCAGTGACACACAGTGCATGGAGCAACATAATTACATAATAATCCCAAGCAAGTCTTTAAATAGGCTTTCCTGTAAATGCACAAGATTACTTCAAATTAACATGATAATTCTGTGCAGCTGTGCTTTGAGGCATAATAACACCTGCAATGTTTTCAAGATGGCACAAGGCACTAATACACCAGTGCCGTGTCCTAAATAGCATCTCAAGAGACAATTAATGATGCCCCTGTCTCTGACACAGCATTGAGATGACACACAGGTGCTTTCAAATGCTGAAATAATAGAGCTGTAGAAGTCCCTCAGTGAGAAAAAAATGTCATATGACTAATAACTGTATTTCTGAATTCGTTATTTAGGGAGAGATAAGCTTAAACGTGCTTGAAAAGCATCTCATGCCAAAACATCAAAACAGTTAAAAGTTAAGTTAAACATTAAAACATTAAACAGTTAAACATTTTAAAAAGACTACTTTTAATAAA